CTGGTTAATATATATTTCTTTAGTGATTCACTTTAGATCATGTTATTTATTCTGGTTAATATATATTTCTTTAGTGATTCACTTTAGATCATGTTATTTATTCTGGTTAATATATATTTCTTTAGTGATTCACTTTAGATCATGTTATTTATTCTGGTTAATATATATTTCTTTAGTGATTCATTTTAGATGATGTTATCTTGCAATGATTATCTTTTCCTTATAGATATGATGACCTGGTTGTTGGTGCTCCATTTTATTTTAGTGACCATGAAGGAGGAGCTATTTATGTGTATTTGAGCTCTGAAACAGTAAGAATTTACTTAATCCTAATAGAAAAATAGAGAAATATCCAGGTCTTGATCCTATAGAAGCTCATTAAAACCACAAAAGTTAGGTTGTTTCATAAACAGGTTCAACTAAAGGTAATCAAGCTTATTAGAATAACATTTCTAACTCTGTGAGGTTCATATGCATGTACTGTATATCCTGGAGCATTTGTAACCCTGTGAGGTCCATGTGCATGTACTGTAAATCCTGGAGCATTTGTAACCCTATGAAGTCTGTGTGCATGTGCATGTACTGTATATCCTGGAACATTTTTAACCCTGTGGGGGTCCATGTGCATGTCCATATACTGTATTTCCTGGAGCATTTGTAACCCTGTGAAGTCTGTGTGCATGTGCATGTACTGTATATCCTGGAGCATTTGTAACCCTATGAAGTCTGTGTGCATGTGCATGTACTGTATATCCTGGAACATTTTTAACCCTGTGGGGTCCATGTGCATGTCCATATACTGTATTTCCTGGAGCATTTGTAACCCTGTGAAGTCTGTGTGCATGTGGATGTACTGTATATTCTGGAGAATTGTTAACCCTGTGAAGTCTGTGTGCATGTGCACGTACTGTATATCCTGGAGCATTTGTAACCCTGTGAAGTCTATGTGCATGTACTGTATATCCTGGAGAATTTGTAACCCTATTACATTAGTTAAAAAGTATTACTTTTTAGTTTTTATTTTCTTCTTAATTTTATTTAACTGACATTAACTTAGAGTTTTTGTTGACTCAGTGAACCTTTGGAACTAATGTTTCTGTGTATACATATTATTCTTATGTTATTACTTTCTACTTTTTATTCTAGGGAATAGGTACAGACACAGTTCCTAACTATTACACTGGAAAACCTGAGTCAAGGTTTGGTTTTGCAATTGCCAGTGCTGGAGATCTGAATAGAGATGATTTCACTGGTAAATATGTGTTTTTAGTATCACATTGTAAGTATCAAACAGAATCTCCTTCAAGTGTGTCCACCTATAGAGATGTTACTTACAAATCATGAAATAAATTTTAGAACTAGTTCTACCCTAATTAATATTATGAACGAAAATAAGATTTTCTTGTGTTTATTTTATTCCTTTTTGGAAACAAAAATATTTATAGTCACAAAATCTCTCTCAGTTAGTTTTTTTTAATTGTTTTGGAGCCTGTAAAACACTGGTACTAGGCTGTTAAAATTCCTGTGTAGGCTATGCTATGTACAAAACTCATTTTCATCTAGACAACTCCAGTAGTGACTTTCAAATGTTTTATAGAGTATTGTATAGATTTTGTCTTGACTTATTAGCATAAAGAGAAACTTATAGACTGAAGTACTACCTTACAATGTTATTGAACCACAAGCTCTCGGGCCAACTCTTTAAAGAGCTCTACACTAGGTGTAATTACAAAAATAACTGAAAAAAGTTAAAATAGAAATCCGTCATGTGAGAACATCACTAGATCATACACATGTAAGAGAAACTTACAGACTGAAGTACTACCTTACAATGTTATTGAACCACAAGCTCTCGGGCCAACTCTTTAAAGAGCTCTACACTAGGTGTAATTACAAAAATAACTGAAAAAAGTTAACATAGAAATCCGTCATGTGAGAACATCACTAGATCATACACATGTTCCTATCATACGTGTTGATAATAATTTAGACACCTATTTATCAATTTTAGTCAATCTGGCTACTGCATATAACTACATAAGTTTGTTAAACACAAGAAAATTAGTAATGAATACTATTAATACATAAACAAGTATAAAAGGTAATATAATTAGGTGTGAAATAAGTAACCTAATGTCCTGTAGTATACAGTAACTATTATATTGTATACGACTGACTTTAACTGTTTAAAGCTAGGTGAGAGCAGGACTTTTTTATCAGTATGGAGCTGACTGTCACTCATCCTGTGTCTCTGTTGATTATATTTTCTGATTTTTATATGAAGGGCTTCGTTGTTCATCTCCTGATATGGGTAAATTCTCAATCAAGAAGTGTTTATTCCTCTCCTGATATGGGTAAATTCTCAATCAAGAAGTGTTTATTCCTCCCCTGATATGGGTAAACTCTTAATCAAGAAGTGTTTATTCCTCTCCTGATATGGGTAAACTCTTAATCAAGAAGTGTTTATTCCTCTCCTGATATGGGTAAACTCTTAATCAAGAAGTGTTTATTCCTCTCTTGATATGGATAAACTCTTAATCAAGAACTGTTTATTCCTCCCCTGATATGGGTAAACTCTCAATCAAGAAGTGTTTATTCCTCCCCTGATATGGGTAAACTCTCAATCAAGAAGTGTTTATTCCTCTCTTG